CAATAACAAACGTTCAGGATTTTCAACTTTTTTGTAGATCAAAAGCCAATCGGGTTCTATGTGGCAATCTCTAAAGCCTGCTAAATTACCCGTGAGGGCGTGGTCTCGTGCGGAATCAGGGAGTTTCTCATCATGGGCTAAGAGAAAGATAATATTTTGAAGTTTTTGTTGATTTTTCCCACGTTTTATCATGAGCTTAAACTGACGTTTGAATTCGCCTGAGCGTTCAATATCTCTCATAGATTAGTCGTTCAGGTCTGCCATTAAATCCTCTACACTGGAAAAACGCTTGAAGCCTTGTTCTTCATACGGTTTTAAGAGTATTTTTGCTGTTTGTTCATTTGGGGTGTATTCCAAATCTATAGGGAGTGACTGGGTATTGACCGCCTTTTGTAGAAACATTTTTATGGCTTGTGCGGGGGTAATTCCAAGATTCTCAAAAAGCTCAAATGATTGCTTTTTGAGGTCTTCGGGTAAGCGAATTTGGTAGGTAATGGAACGTGACATGGTGAGCATACCTCGAAAGAGTAAAGATGTATACGTACATTGTAGCTACATTGTAGCAAATTGCAAGAAGAATTTACATCTTTATAGGTAATCCTCTTCGAGCTGGTGTTTTATCGCATAGATAACAACCTCATCAAGCATCACATCAAAATCATAAAGCGCGACATAACCACTCTTACCAAACTCAATAATGAGTTCCCGCAGCCCATCTTCTACAGGTCTGCCCATTTCTGGTAATTGATTCAAAGTCGTTAATGAATCGTAAATTTCCCCGATCGCTCTCAGGGCAACGCTCGCATCTTTTTTCGCCAAAAACTGAAATAGCCTCTCAATATCTGCCTGCGCTCGAATAGAGTAGTTTAATCGTGGCATACAGGCATAGGTGTTGCAACATTAGTCTTTAAGTCATTAACCCACTGGGAAAACTCATCATGTGTGATATGCAAACCTGTTGCCTTGTAATGGGCTCGAGATTCTTTTGCTACATCAATAAACCGTCGCTCCGCTTCTTTCTTTTCCAGATATTGACGGATCGCCTCCTTCATGACAAAGTGTGTAGAGCGATTTTCTGTCTGAGCAATTGCTTTGATTCTCTCATGCTCGAGTACATCGAGCTTAACCGATACATTCGCCGTAGGGTGTCTAAGGGTGTCTGTTTTCATGGGTCGTTACTCTTATGAATAGTTACTAATACGTAGTAACATTATATACGTGTTATCTGAGAAGTCAAAATACCCCATGCCCATGACTGTTTTAAATCATTCCACAAGAAAACACAGACATTCAAGCCAACCCCACTCAAAACCACCTCAAAGTCGTGCGTGTAAGCGAAAAAGGGTGGAATAAATCCCCACAAACATACCGCCCCCCAAAGCCCGATCAAGGTCGTACAAAGTCTCCACCTTGACGGGCTTTTTCATTGGTGGCGGTGAAACCGTGGTGCTTTATTCCTTACCATTTTTATTATGGACACACGCACCCTTTGTTCTGCTTTGCTCGATTGTGGTTGGCTCGATGCTGATTTTCTTATTCGTCTCATGGATGCCTACCATATAGAGCCTCATGACTTGGTTGATGAGTTTTACTGGAGCTATGGCTCATCTGCACGCCTAGAGATCAATGCCCTCATCTACCTTGCCTTTGACCATGTCGCACAGGAGTTCCTCACAGAAGTAGTCAATCCACGTACCAGCTACTTCAAGAACCAAAAATACTCCATCTTTACTAACTGCATGGACTCATCTCTATGGTTCGATGATGAAGAGCTGAATAGATGGTATGAGGCATGGCGCAAATTTTAAACTTGCGTCCTGCTTTTTTCTCTCACGAAAACCTGTATGGGGGAGTGCCAGAGTTGGCAAAAATCTTGGACACGTGTCCAATTCGATTTTTTACCTCAAAAAATCATAATACAAGCACATACCGAAAATCAGTAAACAATTTTTTACAGCTTGTTTTCGGCGGTATAACTACCCTATATTTATTGATAACATAAGGAAATTATATGAATTTCACAGATAAATCGATTTTTTGTGTTGTGGTAGCCTTTTTTGTTTTACTATTTTGGATTCGCTTTGATTCTAATATGCAAGAAATGGTGTTTTCCTTGATTATTTTGATAGTGCAATTTTTCAAATGAAAACCATAAAAACGATATTATCCAAAATGATTGGATTATTGACCACCTATGCGTATAATTTGCCAGTATATTGACTCATTTATTGGGTTAACGTATTGCCATGTAGTCACTCAATATGACCCAGTGCAGCTTAAGATAGCTTTTTCATTTTTTCTATGACATCACAAAACACCCCTGATACCTATCCACACGAAATCCCTCATCTGGCTGAAAAGTTAAGGCTCATAGACACACTGCGGGATGAAATAGACACAGAAAAAACTCGTGAACCCTCACTGTGGGCGACCATCGTCAACCGCTTGCGTACCGATTGGACATATCATTCAAACGGTATTGAAGGGAGCACACTCACACGTGGTGAGACCCATTTTTTCCTGTCGGAAGGATTGACGGTCGAGGGTAAACCTTTCAAGGATTTTCTAGACGCAAAAAACCATGCGGAAGCTATCGACATTCTGTTTGAAATATTTACCGATAAACGCCCCATTTCTGAAAGCTTTATTAAAGAAATCAATGCACTCCTTTTGCAAGGAGTAAAATCGACACCCGCAATTAATGTCATGGGGCAGATCACGCAAAAACGAGCGACACCAGGAGAGTACAAAACCCACCCCAACCATGTGCAATGCCTTGATGGAACTATTCACCACTATGTGGAGCCTATCCATGTGCGAAGCCAAATGGAAGAATTGGTACGCTGGGTGAATGACTCGATTCAATCGGTTCACACTATTCATGTTGCTGCGGTTGCTCATTACAACATGGTGCGTATCCACCCGTTTGATGACGGCAACGGTCGAGGTGCTCGCATTCTGATGAACCTCATTTTACTCAAAAATGGCTATTTTCCTGCGGTCATTCGCTTAGAAACAAAACGAAAATATCTTGAGGCGTTGAACCAAGCCAATCAGGGCAACCTCACACCCTTCATCGAATTCATTGCTGACACAGTGATTACCACAAAACAATCTGTCCTTGAAGCTTTGCGAGGTAGAGCCTGATAAAAACACAGAAAGAGGTTACTCAAATTATTGAAAGTCGGAAAAATTAAGTGTTTTTTACAGATGTTGCTTTACCCATGCTATGGGGGTAAAAGCTATTGCGCCAATCAAAAAAACTCAAAAAATACTCCAATAGATGGGGAATACCCCTACTCTTTGTGATACAATTTTTACACAAACACAAACACAAACACAAACACAAACAAATGCTTATGCGTTGCATTGAGTACGCATGTGCATCTTGCATATACACGGGGACGACACTAGTATGAACACGCTCAGGACAACCAATTTTTCTTCGCGCGCACAAAACACCACTTCATTACCAAAAAATCTTTTATGCTTGGCTACCACCTGTTTATTTGCGCTGACTGCCACAGGGTGCGGAACCCTCACCGGAATACCGAGCCACGGGGGTGGCAAACGATTCTCAGAAGAGCAACGTCTTGTTTCTGCGAGTATTCGTTCAACACTCAAACAAATTGACGTATCACCCTTGCGAGGAAAGAAAGTTGCTATTATTTTCGATATGATCAGTGACGAAGGCGGTGGAAATATTAGTGGTGGGCGGTTTAATCTTTTGGCAGGGTTGACCACAGGGTATTTAGCTTCCCCCATCACCACCACAAATGGACAGTTCCAATTATTCAATGTGATAGATACAGGTACGAATTACCAGAATACTGCAACGGGGGTCAACGGCACAATGGCAGGTTTGACCACAATAAACACCAACTCCGCAGGGCAAACACTCACAGATAGCACAGGGGCAAGTACCAGTACCTCGTCATCGAACACAACGGGATCAAATAGTTCAATCATCAATAATGGTGCAATAACCACCACCAATAGCGGTTCACAATCCAGCACCACCAATATTGGTGCGAGTACTACGAACTCAAGTGGTAATTCTGGCGTGACTACCAATATTGGGGCAAGCACCACCACTGGCAGCGGTAACGCTTCTGTAAAAACGAATATTGGGGCAGTTACTACCGATGTGAGTGGTTCGAGTAGCAACACGTTTAATAATCCGACGACAACGACCACCATCAACAATCCAGCGACAACCCTTACGATTGATAATCCAGCCATTTCCACTACGACCAATTATCCCGTTACTACCACGAATACCACGATTAATCCTGGAAAAACAACGACGACAACGGGAACAACCGTCACAACTCAAGAAACAGCCCAAGAAACCACCGCTCAGACAACGCTAGCCAATGCGGTGACGCAATCGACACTGGCAAATACCGTAAAGCAATCGACACTCGCAAATACCGTGACGCAATCGACCGAAGCGAATACGGCAACCTCATCAGGAAAGAATACGGGCACAAGCACAACCAATGCCAGTACCAATACCCAAAGCAGTACAGCAGACAATTCTAGTACGACAGGTGCGAGCACTAATACGCAAACTGGCACACAGACAGGAACAAGCACCACAGGAGCGAGTACCAACACGGCAGCAGGAACAACAACAGGAATCGCAACGACAGGTACGCAGACCAATACGCAAGAAGGCACACAGACCAGTCAAAACTCGCAAAATGGTTCAGGAACAAACACTTCTAGCAGCACCCAAGGAAATACCAGTAAAACGGATACAGGTCAAGCCGTCTCAGAAAACCGCACCAGCGACCAAAAAGAGGATTCCAAAGGCGGCAATGAGGTCAAACGTCAAGTTCTTAGCCCTGAAGCCGTGAGCAAACAACAGCAAACCAAAGGACACGAGTTCAATGCGAGTGCCACCCTCCAGTACAAAGGGCTGGGTGACTACACCAACATGGCAATTCCCAAATCCGATGCCAGTTTGCTTACAGGTTTAACGAGAACCTATCTCCTACTCAACGAGATTGAGGTAACTACCCCAACCGACCCCACGGCAGAAGCGGTACTCTATGTAGCGGTCGATATTTTCGGGATTGTGCGGTCTCGTTTTGATGCGTATGTGTTGAACCAAGAATCGGTTAAGGCTGAAACAGGCATGGAAATGACCGCCTTTGATCGTTCAGGGAAAATGATCATGCGACCCCGTAACGCCAACCAAGAGGCGGGCTACAATGAAATATACCTCTTCTGGGCTGGCCCATTTGCCAGTGATGAACAAATTAAGCCAGGGAAAGGTTTATTGGATGATTTTTCAGATGTCGTACCAGGGAAAACCAACTACATCAAGAAAAAGGAACGCACTAATTTTGGCCCAATAGATAATAATAAAGATGAGTTGGACGAATTGGATAATTTGTTTTAGCCGTATCGTAACCCTATGGGATAACTGACCAATAAAACGGAGGCACTACTATGCCACAAGCCATCGAGATCAGGGCGTACTCGTCTTCACGGATGAACTCGCCTAATGAAAAAGTCACCATGCGGGCAGATCATTGCCGTTCCTTATCGCAGCCGTTCGCTCGTTGCATAAGTGTTTTGGGATTTTTTTTGACTTTTGTTCTGCTTTCCCTATACTCACCATTAGGTCATGCGTCGTGTTCCACTCATGATCATGGTTGTATCTTTCATGGCTTTGATAGCGCCGTTCATACCACCTACGTCCCACCAACAGGAAGTACGCCAAGTTCTTTGGTTGTCTATGCTATTGGAACCAATCCCGATGGAACGCCCAGTAGCGTTGATTTTGATAACAAAGTCAAAGTCAATGAGTTCACCAGTTCGGGACTCTACCCTCGCAGTTATTCGCAAGGTACTGGCCCTTATATCATCAATGCCACATCTTATGGTACTGCCAATCCGCCCCCCTCTTGGAATGCAGGAGCCACTGACGGAGCATTGCAAGTCTATCCCAGTCAATACCAGCTCACGTATAACCAAAATACGGCAGTCGCTCGTCATACTGGAGACCTCAACAATGGCGGTGAGAATGGTAATGTCCCCAATGCCACAGGTTGCCCGAACTTGCCCGCAGGTTCGACCAACTGTGAAGCAGTCGTGGTGACGGGCAATGTCCCCAATGGTATCTATGAGCAACGGGTACGGATATACAACTATCCCAATATCCCCAATCCTTCTGTTAATATCCAAGCAGGAGCCTATACCACAGGGACAGCGATACTCATTACCAACTCCCATGCTGCGCCAAAGCCAGAAGGCCCCAATGAGCTGGCAAACTTTACCACGCTGACAGGGACAGGGGCAATATCTGACACCTACAAATACGAGTTCTACGATCCTAAGTTCAATCCTCATGCTCAGGCAACGGCTTATTTTGATAGGACAAGGCAGTTCTATACGGCAGCGAGAAATACATACGAAAAACGTTACGACGACGGTAGTTATGACACCCTCAGAGATCGCTATCTCAATACTCATGTCACTCGAACCAATATTGGGGCACAAGGCGGCTCTTACAATCAGCTCATTGCTTCGTATAGTCGAAAGGTTGATCCAATTTTGGTGGCGCATGTTGATGCGCCGAAACCTATTGTGCAACTCCCAGAATTTACGCTAGCACTAACAGGAGAGGGAACCACACAAAATCCAGATGGAAGTGTAAATGGTGTACTCATTCGTGTTCCGCCCCCTCTGTGTAGTATTTGTTCTATAAAAAATGCTTTACCTTTTTTTGATTTTAATAATGGTGGTTTTTATGATTCCATGGTTAACATTACTCAGGAGGGTATGGAAACAGCTTTATATAACAGTAAGGTAAAACTTGGAACAGACTTTTCTATACGGTATCCTACTACATCTGGTCGTGTATCAGGAGGTAATCAATACTTCATAACATTTAAAGCTGGTACTGCATTCAAAGTTGGTGGGTATGCAACAGCAACAATCTCTCAAGGTATTGATATTGCCAGTGCTTATAAATTTGATGATGGTGGAGTAATTGGTGAAAATACGGCGGTACAGTCAGCAGGTGCCGTTGGAAGCATTGGTGGTGGTGTTTTGTTCTCTGCAATAGCAGGAACTGCTATTGCAGGAACCGCTTGTGCAGCTACTATCATCTGCGGTGTTGCTGTTGTAGGCGTTACTGCAACTGTAGGTTCTATGCTAGGTGAGAGTGCCGAAGAAACTGCTGTCAGATGGCAATTAAATAATTTTTACAAATAATATATGCGTAATCTTGAAAGATACTACATCAAAAACTTGATAGCCTTTTTATTGAGCATTGGCTTCATCTGACTTTATGTTTGATGCCTAATTGGGCTTGATGTTTTACGCATGAATTGAATACTTTTTTTTGAAGTTCACCCATTTATAGTAATGATCCCATTTCTGATTATTTTTATTGTTCTGTGTATAAGATTTAACGTGCCAATGAGTTTATATGAACTCTTTCATCAACACAAAGATTGAACTAAGTAACCCCAAGAGAAATGCAATAATTCCTAAGCCTGAACATGTACTAATAGCTTGAACACAAGGCATTCCGTACGCATGGAGCTGTTGACTAATTGTTATACTTTCCAACAAACCACCGTTTATTGAACACTTTAAAAAGCCCCCTAAAACGGGGCTTTTTAAATGCCTTTTATGTTCATAAACTCGTTTATCAATCTGTGTATAGCAAAGGTATTCTAATTTGATTTTAAAAACAAATATCATATAATGACGAAACTTACAAAAAATAATCCTCACCTATGACTTCCCTCATACCCCAAGACTATCCAGAATGGCTTAATGCTCTCAAAACTGAAATTCGAGAAACACGGCTCAAGGCAAGTTTGTCCGTGAATCGGGAATTGATTATTTTATATTGGAAAATCGGAAACGAAATTCTCGGTCGTCAGACTCAATCTGGCTGGGGAGCAAAAGTAATCGAACAACTTGCCAAAGACTTACGTTCAGAGTTCCCCGATATGAAAGGATTATCTCGTTCTAACCTCTTGTATATGAGATCCTTTGCTGAAACATGGAAGGATGAGGCAATTGTCCAACAGCTTGTTGGACAATTGCCATGGGGGCATAATATTTTGCTCATCACAGCAATAAAAGATGCAAGCTTGCGTGAATGGTATATCAAAAAAACCATTGAAAACGGTTGGAGTCGATCTGTTCTTGAGTTGCAAATTGAGTCTCAACTACACTTGCGTCTAGGTACTTCACAAAACAATTTTGAGCGTACACTTCCCTCACCACAATCTGACTTGGCACGAGATATTGTTAAAGACCCATATACATTTGATTTTTTAGGTATTACCGAACAAAGCAATGAGCGGACTATAGAGAAAAATCTCATTTCCCATTTGCGTGATTTTTTAATCGAGCTTGGTGTGGGTTTTGCTTTTGTTGGGAGTCAGTACAAACTCGATATTGAAGGGGATGAGTTTTATATCGACCTCTTGTTTTACCATACAAAACTACACTGTTATGTGGTTATTGAACTCAAAAATACGGAATTCAAATTCGAGTACACAGGACAACTCAATGGATATATAGCGGCAGTGGATGACTTGATCCGTGACCCGAAGCATGATGCCCCAACGATTGGCATTATTCTCTGCAAAAGCAAAAAGAAAACCATGGTCGAATATGCCCTACGAGGGGTTGATACACCTATGGGGATTTCGACATTCCGCACTTCTCCCGAGCTTCCAAAAGAGTTAGCGGAACTCCTCCCAAGTATTGAGTCCTTAACCGAGGAGCTTGAACAATCTATAACAGAAAAAACCGATACTGCGATATAACATTGATACTCTTATGAAAATAGGCTATGCCCGAGTTTCCACACTCGAACAAAATCTTGACCTACAAAAAGATGCACTTACCCAGTATGGGTGTACATCTATCTATGAGGAAAAGTTATCAGGGAAAAGCAAAGACCGCCCTGAGCTTGTCGCGTGTCTCAAAAGCCTCAGAGAGGGAGATACCCTTGTATTTTGGAGGCTTGACCGACTGGGGCGAAGTCTCAAGGACTTGGTGCATATAGTCAACGACCTTAAAGACAGAGGTATATTCATTGCCTCTATTACAGAAAGTATAGATACTTCTACACCCACAGGAAACCTGATATTTCATATATTTGCATCCCTTGCTGAGTTCGAACGTAATGTTATACAGGAACGTACCAAGGCAGGACTTGCCTCAGCACGAGCGAGGGGAAGAAAAGGAGGAAGACCCTCTAAACTCAAGGATAATGAAAAAGATATGATCCGAAGCCTCATGCAAGACCGCAACAACTCTCCTCAAGATATTGCAAAACAATTCAAAGTGAGTCGAGGGACGATCTACAAGGTGGTTGCAGAAAAAGGGAAATAGATTGATTTAGTACCAATCAAAAATATAAATTTTAATAAATATTAAAATATGCTTTTTAATATTTTTATATTAATTCATGTGCTTTTCCAAAGCCTCTATCACAATATCCCGCATGGATTTTTTATCCGTAGCTGATTTTATTTTTAATCGTGTCATGAGCGATTCAGGAAGTACAAAACTTGTTCTGATTCCTTCTTCTGATTTTGCTTGCTCAATAAGTTTCTCATGGGTTGGATTATGAGTGCCTTGTTTCGTACGTAACGTAGCTTGTAATTTTGAAGTTGCCATAATATAAAATTATTAAAATTTATAAATATAAAAATATGCTTTTACATATTTTTATATTATTCAAAGTGTTGCTTTAATCTCATTCAATATTGCACGCACTTCTTGTGCTGCTTTCCCGTTTGGCTCAATATCCATCGGTGAAAGTCCCAGGGAAGCACTCGTACGGTAAATGACTCTTTGCGTTGTATGGCTCTCAAAAATTGGTAATCCATATTCAATGAGTATGTCTCTTACTTGTTTCGACAAGTTCCATCGTTCCAAGTCCTGAGAGATGATAAAAGCGGCTTTTGGTTTCCCATCGGTGAGTGATTGACGAGTTTTAATAAGCTCTACGAAATCACCTAGAGCCAAAACATCATACGGTGAAGGAAGGACAGGAATTAAAACCATGTCCACAATTTTTAACGTTGAGACAAGTAGGGGTTCATTTCTCGGCGATCCGTCTATAATAATCCAGTCACCTTTGATAGCTTTAATATCTTTATCAATCGTGGCTCTATCTAAGCCTATCACCTGTACAGTGTCTTGCTCTGTTGAGCTTCTCCAGTCCCTAGCGCTCCCTTGAGGGTCAGTATCTACCAAAACAACATTTTCACCATCTAAAAAAAGTTGTCTTGCTATACAGGTGGATATTGTCGTTTTTCCTGCCCCGCCCTTCTGGGTGAGAATTGCAATTGTAGGCATAAATATAAAAATATAAATTTAATTAAATACAAAAATATGCTTTTTAATATTTACATA